CTCTCTCTCTCTCTCTCTCTCTCTCTCTCTCTCTCTCTCTTTTTTAGTGACCATTCTTGCGGCTCTTATCCTGCTTGAAGTGAGACAGTCACACCTCACTAGTCTGCAAAGCTGTGCTCACTAGGGGGCGCTGTGTGAGTTGGGTTCATCAATTACTGGCTTCTCTTCAGGTGGGTTATCCCAACCTCTTCCTTCAGAAGGAAGCCTTCCAGTTTCCTGAGTTTTAAGGCAGATAGCCTTGGGATGAATGTGACTCTCTGATGCGTTTGTCCCCCTTCCCCCAGAGTAGTATCAATATTTGAATCTGAAGGGTCCAGATCTTGCACTGTTTCCATCTCTCTAGCAAGGGCTAGATAAATAGCTCAGCTGTTAAAATCAGTTACTGGTTCTGCCAAGGACCCTAAAGTTGGTTCCCAGAACCTACATCAGGTGACTCATATTTACCTGTCACTCCGAATCCAGGGGAATCTGATTCCTCTGGCCTCTCACATGCACACAACCATACACAGACATACACATACATGTAATTCAATGTTTTGTTTGTTTGAGACAGGGTTTCTCTGTGTAGCCTTGACTGTCCTGGAACTCGCGCTGTAGACCAGCTTGGACTCAAGCTCCCAGAAATCTGTCTGTCTCTGCCTCCTGAATGCTGGGATTAAAGGTGTGAGCCACAACCACCTGGCTAATTAAATGCTTTTAGAAAAAAAAAATCTAAAAATCCCATTGCACGCCTGGATGTGGTGGCCCACACTGATAATCCCAGCACTTGGGAGGTGAAGGAAGGAAGCTTCGGAGTTCAAGTTTAACTTTACTACATAGAAAGTTCAAGGCCAGTCCTCCATATCACGAGACACCCAACTATTGCAACCTTTAACCACCCAGAGGTGTTAGATAGTTTCTTTTACAATCTCTGTGAAAAATCATGCCTGCGTATGAATAGGATTGTTCCCCAGGCAAAGCATATACTCTGAGGTGGGTCATATTTACCCTGTCATTCACAGATGCCTGGCCTCTGCAGTCCTTTGAACTTGAGATCTTGCCCTAGGTTCTTGAAAATATGATATTTCATCTTAATCTCTCTCTCTCTCTCCCTCCCTCCTTCTCTCCTCTCTCTCTCTCCCTCCCTTCCCCCCCCCCCCCTTCCACACACACACACACACACACACACACACACACACACGCTTGTCAACCTGAGGGCAAAGTCCCAGTCTCAAGAGTCACAGATCTGGCTCTTCTTTGCAGGTCTGTGTGTGGGTGGGTGAGTGGGTGACAAGGCTGAGACATCACGTTTTCCTTCTTAAAACATTTATTTTAGCTGGGCAGTGGTGGAGCACGTCTTTAATCCCAGCACTTGGGAGGCAGAGGCAGGCAGATCTTGTGAGTTCAAGGCCAGTCTGGTCTACGAGGGAGTTCCAGGACAACCAGGGCTGTTACACAGAGAAACCCTGTCTCCCAAACAGAAAAACAAACAACAAACAAACAAAGAAAAACCATTTATTTTATGTGTATGTGTCTGAGTGCATGCATGTGCACCAGGTACACGCAGGAGTCAGAGGAGGTTGGAAGTCATCAGATCCCCTGGAACTCGAATTATAGAGGGGTGTACGCTGGTGTGTGGGTGCTAGTAATCAAACCCCGGCCTTCCAGAAGAGCAGCCCCTGCTATTAACTGCTGGGCCGTCTCTCCAGCCCTCTCCTCTTGGTTTGAGAGACTGCTCCTGGGCCAGAACGATGGCTCCGTGGGTAAAGGCATTTGCAGCCCTATCTGCTAACCTTTTTGATTCCTTGATCCCACATGGTGGCAGAGTAAACCAATTCACACAAGCTATCTCCTGAACTCCACAAGTGCACCTGCGAGGACACACACATAAATGAATAAATAAATAAATGTGTGTATCTTTTTTTTTTTTTTATAAAGAAATTGTTGCTGAAACGG